TTTTTCTGCATGTGTCAGCACTCTGTGAATACAAACCTTCTTTATATTCAGTTAATTCCTTCTTTCATGTTTGTTTGCATCTTTCACAAAGCAGCACAGAAGAAAAAGGCATTAAAAACAGGAATATGGTTGCAAAGTTGCAAGAATAGGCGGAGATAACAGCCTGGAATGTGTGAGGGTTTGGTTTTTTTTGTAGGAGTATCTTACAAACTGGATTAGTTTGAGAGTATTCTAAATAACTTCTACCTGGACTGCTTAGTTCCATTCATTGATTTTATGTTGTTGTGTTTTTGTTTGTTTTTTTTTTTAAAAAAAAAGGTAGCTGCATGGGTAGCAGAAGACACACAGCCCAGCCTCCTGTGGAGCTCACTTATTCTAGCAGTCTGCAGTGGAGGTTCTCTGGTGCCTGATAGTGCAGGTAAGCCTACACTGCTGCTTCTCAGTGCAGGCACTAACAATGAGTCTTTTCTCTGTGCAGTCCAGTTCCATGAAACATGGGAATTTATTCACTTTGAGGACTGCGCACTGTGTCAAACTGGACTGAAAATGACTGGCAAATTTGGTAATCAGTAGGGAACTCATCAGTAGAGATATGTGCAGCAAGATCATATTTATCTTGTTTGTTGACAAAATCAAGCTAAATGATCTCTCAATCTTTTCATCGCCTTATAATGACAGTAAATATCATTAACAGCTTAACTTGACATTTTACTTGAGAATCAGTCTCACAGGAAGAAGAGATGCATGTTAATCTTCATAGCTTGGGATTTTGAAAAACTTCAAGAGCTGTTGACTGCTGCTGAGGCGGTTAAAATCTGACTAGGGCCAGCAGACTGCTTGTCAGCAGGGACCTCTTTCCATGGCCAACTGAGCAGGAAACACACTTCTGCATCTTTAGCCTTCTCTTATAAGGGCACAGCTTTGTGTTCTATATATGCACTTGTTTACCTTATCCTGTGTCTCCCTAACTTTGATCTGTTGGTAGTTCTCAGTCAAGCTTGATAGACAGGTGGTGGTCCCAGAGACCAACGTTTCTACCAAGTTTTATGAAAATTGGTGACCGAGAATCCTGTGAAAGCTTACTGCAGCTCATACTGAGGGGCAAAACTGTACTAATAGAAATACATGTATGGTCAGACATCAGAGAATTGTGTGGGAGCCTGTCCTTATGAGTGTCACAGCCCAAGAAAGCTTCACTAGGAGCTTGTTATTAACCATGCGAGACAAGACTGTGGCAGACTGGAGTTCAGTAGCCTTAGAGCTGACAGAAGTACTCCTTACAGTTGCTGCACAGAATTAAATAGATCTCAGCAGCTGAGAGACGGGCTGCTTCCTTTCATGTTTCTGTAGCTTTTGCTGTGGGTTAATAGCCTCAAGCAAAACAGCAAAGTGAAAGCAATTTAGTTCCTGATGCTTAAAGAGTGTAGGGTAGGTATTGCAAGTTTGGCTACTTACCTTCCCCTGAGAAGTCTTGGGGTGCATGATGTAACTGAAGTGCTGCTTTAAGACAGTAAGAACTCAAAAGCAAGGCAACCAGTGATGGTGTGACCTTTGAATTGGAAAGGCTTCCTCTCTTTCTTTATCCATTCAGTTAGGAACAGTTTTAGGGTTTATTGTAGAATGTGATATGGAGCGCACTTTTTTTTTTTTTTTTTTTTGCTTTACAAACCACAAAATTTACAGGAGTTTTTTGTCTTTGTAATTGGAAAACTTAGGCTAACTTACCTTGCACAACCGGTTCGAGGTAAGAGCGATATAGTATGTATTTTTAAGCCTATTACCAACTGAAAATTTTGGCCTAAGAATTAACACAAATAGAACGCAAGATAAATAAGGTTGGTCCCCAACAGCAGGTGTTGATTACTTGTTTAAATGGTTATTATTAGCCTAGAGGTCAGCAATATTTTATCTTAAATTATGCTGCATCAGAGCCTATATATGCACATACCTGAATTATCTTTATAAATGAATAGCCTTAGTCTTTTTTTTCCCTGTGCCTCTCAGTATATGTCCCATTTTTTAAGTAGTGCTAGTTCAGAGAGAGACATGTGAATCATTCTTCATGAAAGTTTACCAAATGTTGTTGTTAACTTTCCATAGGAAGTAGAAACCTTTGCTGACAAGTAGAGAGTTTATTTATTAGGTTTCTGTGAAAGTAAGACTTCTGTTTTTTTTTTTTCCGTTTTCAATGGTTTTAAAAGTAAAATGACATATCCCTCAGAACAGAGAAGACAATCTTCTGAATATAGACCGCTGTAATGTTACCCTACTAAGCTTGAAAGTGACCTCAAACAAGAACGAGCCGTCTGTTCTAAAAGCAGTAGGATATTAATTGTGAAGCATCTGTTACATTAACGTTGTTCCCACGTGAATGGTTCATAAGGAAATGCTTCACTCATTTTAAAATATAAACTAATTAAATGTATGTATATTTGATTTGAGTATCTTATTTTTAGGTTGTTTTCTTTTCATTGATTTAAGCCAACTTATGCTATTCTGAGTCAAGTCACCCCACAGACTTCTGCTCTTAGCTTTATTTTTCTTTAATTTTGATTTAATGAGATGATTCTGCTTCTCATTAAAAATGATATCTTAAAAACCAAATCTGTGTGAACAATACCTCGTGCAGTCTACAAACATGTTAGTCCCCCTGTGAGATTTATATCGGAAGGCTTATGGTTAAGGCTGCAGAGGCTGTTTAAAGAATAATCAAAGATTGGAAGAAGAACAAGTAAAGAAAAGGGTGGTGTGAGAAGGAATTATGAGACTACAGAGGAATTTGCTATAGTGTTGTAGTCTTATAAATGTGTGGTTGTCTTGTGTACCTCTGTCCTGGAGATCTGGCAGATCTTGGCTATGTAATGACCACTGAAGACACACAGAGCCTCTGGATCGTTGGTATTTCCCAGCATAAAGGAAAACTGAAATTGCATTTGGTTTGAGCAATGCGTTTGATTTACAAGTTTCTTCAGATGTTATATAGGGCAGTAGCTTTGTTGCTCTGCTAGCAAACAAGCCATATTCCTGAGCCTTGCCACCAATTCGGTGTATGGTTGACCTCAGTGAAAAAAATGAGGAAAGCGAGTAGCGGCTTGCTGTTTGGATTTTTTAAGTCATTCTGAGCATACGTTGACATAACTTTCTCTTAGTAAGTTAATGTTCAGCTTAAGTTATTGATAAGCTTGGAGCTGTTGTCAGTACAGATTCATTTAAATAACTGTGGAACTTAACCTTTTTTCCTAGAAACTCAGTGTTTGCATTCTTAGAACTAAGATATTGAATGGGAAATAGACTCGGAAAGGTTTTCCCATGGAAACATCACTCTAGGTTTCCTGTTCTTATACTGTTCTGTGAATCAATTGCAGAGCACTGCTTTATTTGGCTTTGGGAGCAGGGAGTCAGGTGCAAGCCATTATCAGTAGACCCTAAAGCAAAAAAAAAAAAAAAAAGTTCTGAAATCTGTTGATGTTGTTTCAGCACAGAATAGAACAGAGCAAGGCCAAGGCCTCTCCCCTGCATGTTGCGCACTGAAGATGGTGTTTAAGGCTAGATGGATGTGTGGTGTGATTTGGCACAGCGGTTGTTGTGGCGGGTGCTGTGAGGTCTGGGTTAGTGAGCAGCTGTAACAAGACCCATCTATGTTCTCACTTTCAAAGTGGAGAAAGGGGATGCTGGTACAGAAGGTAGACTCTGGATTCTAATTCAACTCTTTCTAGTGAGAGTACACCATACAGATTTGGCGGTATTTTTGATCTCTTTAGAATGATATTTTAAAAAATCTTGTCTGTGCCTTCTTCATGTTTACCCTTGTTTTCTTTATCTGCAGCCTTTGTATGCAGTGGTTTAGAGGGTCTTCACGTTTACCCTTGTTTTCTTTATCTGCAGCCTAATAAAAAAAAAATAGATGAGAGGAAAAAAGTCCTTTGCTAAAATGAATATAAATCGCTCTTAACTCTAGAATGTCTGATAAATTAAAGAAAAAAAATAGATGAAAGAAATCCTTTGCTAAAATGAATATAAATCTCTCTTAACTCTAGAATGTCTGATAAATTAAACTAAGCAAATTCGTTATAACTGCTTACCTGACTGCAGGTTCTAAGTCAGAGCTTCTTAGGTCATCTGGTAATAATCTTGCTTGAAATCAAGTCCAGCTTTTATGATCTTTAAATTAAAACAGCACAAGATAAATCATGGATTACAAGTATTGGTGGTGACATCCAGGTATGAGTAAAGCCAGAACGTTCCTGTTCTGTGTAGAGGATGTAATACCCTGTGTGAAGGCAGAGTGATGTTCAACTTCAAAAGGTTAGAAATTATAGGCCTTGACATACTAGGTTGAAATGGTGAGGCAGAAAGGTGGTCCAGCAGTTTTAAAAAGAAAGGGGGAAATGGGCACATTTCTGAATCTGATAGGCAGTGGTTTTTTTCTAAGTAGAATAATGGTGAATTCTAATAGTGAAGACCTGGTACCAGTGATGACAAGCCCCCAGGCTTTAGGATAAATCATGCTGGAGGAGGTATCAATGGGCAAGCAGAACCCAGACTGTCTTAAGAGTTTTGCAGAGGGAACAGTAGGACCTTGTGTCTTGCCCACAAGGTTTCTGATAGCTGACAGGAAAGAGAAGCCCAGCAAGAGCGTGTTCTCAGGGGGCAGTTTGCTCATAATACAGGTAGGAAAATATTTAAGGAATGGAGGATGCTGTCAGTCAAAACCAAGGCTTATGTTCTTGCCTGCTTTGTGAGACTTGTTTTCTTAGTTTCGTTTACCTGCAGTGGCTTGCTTAGGTCATTGCAGTAAAGTTTGCCTAGATTGCTAGTGAAGGTTTTGGCATGTTGAAAATGTTTCCCTGATTTTGAACAGAAATGCAATAGTAATTCTGTTTCTTGTTTTTAGTGTTTCAGGTTCCCAGTACTCTTGCTTTTGAGATGCATTCTAATTATTGCTTGCAACTTGTGATAATATGTGCATGTAATAAATCTTTGTCACTTTATATTTCTAGGTCCACTGGCCTTCTTTCCTCAGTGGAAGCTGAAACATTATGATGTTATTGTAGGTGTTTTGTCAGCTCGACACAATCATGAACTGCGCAGTGTTATAAGGAACACTTGGTTCAAGCACCTGAAACAACATCCTGCACTGAGCCAACGGTAATCTTTAGTGTTTTGTAATTTGGGGCTTTGTCACAGGGTTGGAAAGACTGTAATGACTATAATGCTTAAATATCTTAATCCTCTTTTTTTGAAAGTATTTCCTTTTTTTTTCTTTATCTGTGAGCATCTTGCACTCTGATTTTTTTTTTTTTTTTGATCTCCATAGTAATATGTAAGGATACTTCTTGTTTTGGGCTGTAACTTATTTTTTATGAGAGGAATAAAATGTAATTATTGTTCACGGCTGGTTTTGTGTTTAGTTGCTGCTGTTCATTAGTGACATATAAGACTTTCCCTTTTCTCTGTTGCAATGTATGCTTTACATGGTATGCAATTTACAATTCTTAGTAATCCAGGATACTTGAAAGCACGCAGGATCATATTTGGTGAAAGAACCATAAAAAACTCTTACAGCAGCCTCAACTGTAAAGTTCAGATTTATTTCCTACTGAACCAGGTCCACCAAACTGCTGCAGTGTGAGTGACCAGCAGAACCCTTCCTGATTGCTTGCATAGACCTGACAGTGTACAGACAGCTCTGTTCTTGCTGAGAAAGTTCTGCTGCAGTTTGTTCCTGAAAGCACTGTTGTCTTGATAGGCCTCCCATCTTGGTACCTGCCTTGCTTTGAAAGCCATTTACTGTTCACCAGGTGGTGTCAGCATGCAGTTTGGAGTGAAGCATAGCTACTTCAGTCATCTGAAGGTGTCACCTGCTTATATTCCAGGAGGATATTTAGCTGCCAGGTGGAAGACTAGGCTAAGGTGGATCTTCTTGCTTTTTGTTCTGCTTGTTATCTCCTGACTGTGGCACAAATGTGATAGGGGCTGGAAAGAGCAACCTCGTGTTTTGCTACAACCCAAAACTGAGACATTTCATTGTAATGGATAGTCCGGAGTCCTTGTTCCTCCTCTGATGCAATGTGTCTTTTTTTCCTAGTATTATTTTTTATTTCCTTTTGAATGCAGGATATTTAAACAGTCTTGGATTAAGTACCAAAGCCAGGCAGGGAAAGGGAGGTCTTCAGGATCCTTCAGTTTTGCCTTAGGTCTTTTTCTGTTTAGCGTGCTGGCTGTCTTGAATCCCATTCCTAGTTGTCAATCTTCCTCTGTCCTCATTACGAAATGTAAAATGCTAATGTGGGTTTGGAATTGAGCCCCTATGAGGGGGATTCATGTGCTTGTTCTACATACAGACTCTTATTGCTGACTTTTAAGGGGTTCGAAATCTTAATCCTGTGAAAGACAGACCACTGTGATGAAATAAGTTTATTGAAGACGGAGGGAGGAGGGAAGAGAACTGATGTTAATAAAACCAAATTATTTTAGTGTCCTTGTGAAGTTTATAATAGGTGCTCATGGGTGTGCTGTGCCAGTGGAGGACAGAGAAGATCCCTACTCCTGCAAACTTCTGAACATCAGTAACCCAGGTATAGAAGTTAACTTTTAAAAATTCTGTGATCTGAACTAGAGCTAACCATATTTTCTGAGAGTAGTCTGCAGTGCTTGACTGAGACAGCCAGTCTTGAAAATAAATGCTGCCTAGAACTTGCTGTCTTACATACTTGTGCAGGCATGAAAGGGAGAGATCTTTGGGGTGTGAAGGCGAGACCATTGATTTCTAATTGATTTGCATTTTCCTTGTGTCAGGGGACAGTGTCTCCTGTATAATGTACACTTTTACTCAATCCCTGTGTAAAATGAAGTTGGAGAGAGACAGAATGACCCGGTCTTGGTGTCATATAGGAATACAGTAGTAAGGTGACAGTCTTGAGTGTCAGATGGACTTCTCTGGTGACGTAGTTAATTCTGAGCAAGTCTGGCTGATAGGTTTTTCAGATTCAGCTCTAGAGAGAGAGCAATTAAGAAGCGTACCATGGGAAAAACATGAAATGCTGCCATACAAAAATTCCTAGCTAACATTGTAAGTTCTTCCTGTCATCTTTTTTTTTTTTAAATATTAAATTTTTGCTCTTTAATTGCAAGTTAACTAAGGACTGCTTGGCACTTAAGCTATGATTCACCAAAAAATGAAACTTCTGTTACTTTCTCTTTGAATGGCAACATCTACTGCTTAGCCAATCTCCCAAGAATAAACGGTACCTCAGGGCTTAGGGAGGTGATAATGCCAAAAAGCAGGCAGCTGAATTAAGTGGAGGTGTATACTATTTTTATACATGAATAATTATTTTAATATGCTAATATACAGATATTCATGCAGTCAAATAGCACTTTTCACTCTGTGGATTTATGATGTTTCTAGTCTTTTCCCTGTGGATATTGACTTGCAGTTGCTGTGTCACTCTGAGTTTCTCCTTGCTGCGGTGTGCAGCCAGTTGTATTTTCTTCTCCTCCAGCATTTGATTATCCTTGTGCACTAGCTAATCACAATGCTTTGCGTGTATCCAGTGTGCTTTGTGTGTGTTCAGTTCAAGAACTATGAAGTCTTCTCACATTACCTCTGTCCTTTCTTTTTCATACAGTTTTGAATCAGGAAATTGAAGCATTCAGTCTCCCTGAGGACATACCTTCTGTGCTATCTGAAGACAGAATTGTCAGTGTGAACTTTCGTGTACTTTACCCCATTGTCATTACCAGTCTTGGGGTATTTTATGAGGCTGATGGGGTGGGATTCCAGAGGAACATCACTGTAAAACTGTACCAGGCAGAACATGAGGTAGAGTATTGTAGTTATTTTTTAAAAGTGGACTAAAGCATGTTGTCTTTTTATTGTGGATTAAATTCTTACAAAAGGTGACATGCTGTGTTGGTGATTTAGAAGAGAAGTACTTAACTGACAAGTATATTAATTATATTTTTCTTCTCTTGCGTTATAAATTCTTGTTTCACAGATACATATACACACATATATTCTGGATGAGGAAAAGATGAAATTCACAAAGTGCTACGAGTTAATTTAAATGCCCTTTTGGAAGAGCACTTATATCTAATTCCAAGACACAATTTTGGTTGCATTTGAGGTCCTAAAGTGTTGATAGGTATCAAGGAATAAAAAAATAAACTGTTGAATATATTTAAAACACATGTGCAGAAAGAAACATTTGGTGTCTTCAAGCAGAAAGATGCAGGACAGCTGTAATTTTTTTCTTGTCTGTCTTCTGGCAAGACATTTTGAGGTTTCTAGAAACTGGTATTATTTACAGGTATTATTTACAGGGAATAATCAAACCTCAGTGATAATTCCCTCCATCTCCCCAGCTGTTATGGATTTGATAGAATAACTTAGAGCTAACTTGGAGGGAAAAAATAATTCAGCATGCTTGTTTCATTTGATATGTTGCATTTATCTCTACCAATAACTCCATGGGCCAATTTCAAGTTTTCTGGCTGTGCTGCAGTAGAAAGAATTTTAAAATTAAGCTAATAATTAAGTACAGAAAATATATCAAAGTATGTATTTTATGGTGAACTTCCAGAGAATTGGGTTTATAGTAGCAAAAGAAAAAGTATAACTTTATCTGCATTAGCTTTTTACTTCCAGTGAAGAAGAAAAATTAGTATAATAGGAGTGCTGGAGACTGTTTTCTGAAGACTGGGAATTTGGCAATGCGGCATCTTTTGTGTCATTTGTTATTATCTAAGAGCCGTTTGGTGGCCTATGTAATACAGTAGCAATTATGTTTTAGGGGTGAGCATTCTCTGTTGCAATTAATAGTAGTCAGCTATTTAAACAGAAGATAAAAAGTCTGTAAAATGGGAGATGAGTCTGAATCTGTCTGTTCTCAGCTGGTTGGGTTCTAGTTCATCTTGCACTCATTCCGTTGTTGTTTGTTGCTATCGTATCACTCCAACACTTGAGTTCTGTGGAGTCTGAGACTGTTGTGAGAATAAAAATTTCGGTAAGTTTTATAGAATTGATAAGCCTCTTTCCATTGTAACTAACTGAGATTATCACAATCTCACAGAACTTTTAATGTGTGGGGGTTTTTTTTCTGTTGTTCACAGGAAGCTCTCTTCAGTGCTCGCTTTAGTCCACCAAGCTGTGGAGTGCAAGTGAACAGATTGTGGTACAAGCCAGTAGAACAGTTCATTTTGCCAGAGGTATGTGCAGTATCAAAATTGCCTGCAGTTCTTTTAAGTCAGCTGGAGAGACTGACTGATAAACCTGTCCTTTGCTTGAGGCAGAAAAGGACAAGTGAAAACCTCTACAATGTTAGTTGAGAGGATATGCTGAAATCCTGGATTTCTTTTTCATTTGCAATGACAGTATTAGTTGAATAGTTGTAATCGAGAAGCTTTTACTCAGGGCTACTGAAATTTTGATTTTCCTTTTCTGGCAGCACTAGTGAGGAATTTTTTTGTTCATTGAACCATGCAAAGAAAAAAGAATTAGAACTTCAAGATCTTTAATAGGGTGTATCTGTAATATACTAGATGGAGTATGTGGTGCACATTAGACTTGACATTTCGCGTTTTAAAACCTGTCAACATCCCACGACAGAAGCATTTTTCTGGCTTTTTTTTTTTTTTATTTTAATGGGTGCCCCTCGGAAACTTTGGAGAAGACTGCTTTTTGGACAGTGATGAGTGTTAGCATTCTTGCTTGTCCTGAGATACCATTAGCTAAGCTAATGGGACAGGGTCTAAAGTATTTTTTTTTTTTTTAATCCTCTTTGGGATTGGGTATGCAGTTGAAGAGTAGCATTTTGGTGTAGGGATATAGAACCTGCTTGTGGCTGCTTAGGAAGGAAGGTGATTAAACACAGAAGGAACAGAATATAGGAAAAAACCTGGTATTGTTACAGTGGAGGTTCAGTGAATACAAGTTGACTCAGAATGAGAATTCTAGTTCAGCAGACCCTCCCAGGTACAAGGAGTTGTTCCTGGTGGACCAGTGATCTCCCACTAGATATGTCAGCTGCCATTTTAGGCTGTTTCCCTTCATTTACGTACTCTCCTGTATACCCGGTTCCTTGCTGCTATTTCTGTGAGTTGTCTCTGGGTCTGAGTTGTTTTGTTATGCAATAAATTGTTTTATGAAAGAATGGGGCAGGAGAAGACTGAAGGGGGAGGAGAAGACTTTTGGGGCCAGTTTAATCCCTGATTTATTCCCTTGGCTCTATAAGAATGAATGCATTTGGAAACCTGCTATTTTTAAGGGAATCCGCAGCTGATTAATTGGTTTATCATCTTAAACAGTTTTTACTGAATTCTATGTAAGTTCGTTATGCTGACAGGAGACCTTTCGGGTGAACCCAACCTCTTGCAGTATTTTGTGCATGTGTTTTGGCAATCTAATTTGATATCAAAATGATTCAGGGTTTTTTACTTTTTTAAAGAGAGGATTGGTTACCCAGTATAACATGTAAGTAGTATAATATGTAAGCCTTTTCCCTGTAAGACTTTGTTCTGAGATATAAAAATTCTAGGCAGTTGTAATTTTGCTGTAAATGATTGTATTTTTCCTGAGAGGGAGATGGAAGTATTTCATTTAGAAAGGGGATATTAGTATTCAGCTATTTCCTTGTGTGGGCTTCCTTAATCTGATACGTGTCACACGCTGAGTGCTTACAGGATAACATGATGTTTCTAATGTAGATTGATAGGGCTTATGCACAGCATGTAGTTTCCTGTGATACTTGGGATGCTGAACCATACAAGATGATTCAGAGGAGACAACGCCCACGTGTTCCTGTCTACTTGTTTGAGAGCAGTAAATTTAGTGAACTGTTTAATTGTCACAAGATGGTTTCTGAGACAATATCTATTCTCTGCCTTTCCACCTTCAAGAAGTAATGGATTGTACAGACTGCTGAAGAGCTTCATTCATCTTCCAGCTGAAGTGCTGCTCTTTCTGCTCGTCTCAGAGAAAGAGGGGGAAATGCAGCATTAGAATAAGCATCTGGCAGGCCAGATTGTCAAAGACGGAATCGATCATTCAGCTTTGGAATGACTGAAAGCACAGAAGAGCAGAACCACTAGCAGATAACTAAAACTCACCCAGGGGCTCTTAGAGCTGTCTTAGCAATGCAGTTATTTTGTCAAAAAGCCGTGGGCCACTTGCATGAAAATGGGACTCCGTACTATGCATATTCTGTATTACTAATGGGGAGAAGTCGGAGAAATAAAAAGCACAGCACTGCTTAACATTAGGAAAGGAGTTTGCAAGGCTGCATTATGTCAGTACACCTGTTCGGTATTCACTGTAAATGCCACTGCACTCTGGCAGCAACAAGGCTGGAATTTAAATGGGGAAAAACAGATGATGTAGTCTCAGGTGTGCCACTAATGTTCTGCTTTAAGCATTTTCAGTCCTCAGCTTTCATTAAGCGGCTTAGAGTAAGAACAGTCGAAGGCTAAAGTCATTAGAAAATTTGCTTACAAATCTCTCAACCTGGAAAATAATGATAGTTTGCATCTTCAGGATACTTTGCACTGAGGTTTGCTGGTAATAACTGATTAAGACTCTTGGTACATATGTGAAGTCGGTATCAGTAATAGTCAGTGGTGAGAATTTTAATGTTTCTGGTTGCTGAGAAGTGAAAGGACTGTCAGGCTCACTAAACGACTTACCAAAGGTTGTGTCTGTAAACACGGCACAGAAATGAGATTGAAGTCCAGTCCCTACCGCAAAAAAAACATTGGAATAGGAGATGGCAGCCACTGCAAATAGAGAAATTGAGCATGTGGGTTTTACTGTGCAGGGTGTTCAGGGGTCCTGTCGCTAAAAAAATCTTAGTTGTGGTCCATTTGTTTAGATAACTGACAGGTAATTAAACAAACAAGAGGAAGGTATTAAGCATGCAAGTCGGGCTTGAATAAACACTGACTAGCTCTGTTATTAGATTATAAAGCTGGCATTTTAAATAATAGATGGGAGACTGCTGAAATACGCAGCTGTCATTAAATACCAAGACCGTTGCAGATGTTAAGATCTACTTCTAGATGAAAGCAAAGAATTGAGCTGAACTCTAAGCTTGACTTTATGGTGTGTCAGTAACTGTACAGTTTTGGGAGAAGGTTTCTGGAGTAAAAGGAAGGTAAAATGGGGAAAAGCTGAGAGGTTAGTACAAGTAAACAAGCTTTCTACAGCAACAGAGATGCATCTACAAAGAGTTGAAGCAAGTTGTTTCTCTGTTCCAAGGTCCACACTACCAGTGTGAAATTGGAAGAAACAAAACAGAATGCTCTCATCTAGCAGCCAGGAGTATAATCACCCTACAGCTACTCTATGCTACCTTGTCATAAGGGTTAAATTACTTTTAGAAATATAATACTACTAGTACTCTTATCTGTCTGACATACCACTTGTCCCTTTGCATGTTCTTAGGGGGTCTTCAGGAAAGTCTGATGAGTGATACTTGGACTGTTAGGTGTTCAGGCTATATCTTGCATGAAGTTGACTATTTTAAAATTTAAAAAACCCCAAACTGTTTGATTTTCATCCTTTGAAGTCTTTGAATACCTGCATAACAGTGTTTTGCTCTCTTACCAGAGTTTTGAAGGTACCATTGTGTGGGAAAGCCAGGATCTTCAGGGCCTTGTTTCAAGAAACCTTCATAAAGTGGTGGTGAATGATGGAGGGGGTGTTTTCAGAATCATTACAGTGAGTCACCTCACCTTCCCTTCCCCCACATTTCTATTTTTCCTATAAGTCTTGGGTATTTAGCATTTTGCTTTCCTGTGTTTCTTTGTAAATCGTTTGGCTTCTCTTGTCTCAGAAGGGAAGTTTGCTTTGCCTTGCTTAAAGGACATGGGCATGCAAAAAATTATACTAGTAAGTGGCAAAACTTCTATTTTGAAGGGAGTAAAGTTCACCTATTGTCTTTGTCAGGTGTGAAGTAGTATCAGTATATCAGAGACGGCAAAATGTGGGTCAAAAATCCTGTGCTGAAATCCCAGTTGATGGGATTAAGACTGTTTTTTGTTTTTTTGGCAGTGTTTCCCTTTTCCTGTCAAGTGCTGCTTGCTTAAACATGCTGTGCTGTTGAAATTTGGCCAGAGTAACTTCAAATTTTGCTCTCAACTCTGAAACTAGTTTTCTAAAAGTTTCATCAGAACTCCTAGTTTTAGGTGAAACTTAAAAAATGTCACAAATCTTTACAGTTAAAAATTTTAGTCTTCGTCTTTCATTATGCAGGTACCTAAACCAGAAGAGCTTTAAATTAATTTCATTCTCAGTTGCCAGAAAACTTCACACCTTAAAATGAGAGGTGCACTAATTTATTTCTCTCCATCAATCTGTCTCTAACAGGCAGGGGAAGGGTCACTGCCACATGAACTCACTGAAGGTGTGGAGGGAATAGCAGGTGGTTTTATCTACACTGTTCAAGGTAAGTCTGCAAAATGTAGGATCACATTTGATGTTATGATAAACAGGAACTTCTGAGGTAAAATTCATGCTGTCTCTTTGAAGTTGATCACCTTAAGTTTTCTTTTAGTAGAAACAATTTTTTTAATGCCTAATGTCAATGTCCGGATGTGGTTTCTTTGCTTGCCCTTTGTCGCTACTCCAAGTGACTTGCATCTCTTTGTCTTTTTATTAACAGAAATACCATTTTTATCTAGAACCTCTTCTCAGTCCTTTGTTTTTGCTACCTAAACCCAAGCTAAAAAATGTGCAATTAAATCTTTCCCTGATAATTTTCACATATGATAATTTTCACCTATGCTACATCAAAGCAATGCCAATTTGATTACATTTAGCACAGGGTTTTTTTTGTTTGTTTTGGGTTTTATTTTTTTGTTCTAGAAATATATGCTTAGGTGTAATTGATACAACAGGTAGCCTCTACCAGTAAGAATAATAGTGAAGTCCCAGACAGCTCTTTGTATTAAAGAACCTTAAGAAGTTGAATCCTTTTATTACTGAAAAGAGAATACTTTTTTACTTTAAACTTTCTGTATCAGACCTTATACAAAAATATATTTCTTTGCTGTTCTGCAACTTCTAACATTTAATAGAAATTTTCAAATTAATTGTAGGATTTTCAAAACCCCATTGAGCTGAAGCCTTCTTCAGATTAATTTTGCCAGTATGTCATGTATAATCCAAGAGAAACATGTGAAATAGTATGTAGGGATGCATCGTTGTCTAATGATGGGTGCTGTTTCTTTCAGAAGGTGATGCTCTTTTAAAAAGCCTCCATACTCGCCCAGAAAGGTTTACGAGTCACATAAAAAATCTTGAAAAAGAAGATGGTTTATTGAAGGAAGAAAGCAGTACCTATGATGATATTGTTTTTGTAGATGTTATTGACACTTACAGAAATGTTCCAGCCAAACTGCTGAACTTCTACCGATGGTAAGTTGAAAAGAAATGTAGCTGACAGTGGTAGTTGCTTGCAAGTTTGTGCACTTATTTAACAAATTTCATGGTTATGAATGTAACTGAAAAACTGAACTGTGCTTTCAGTTCTAAAAAGGGAGTTTAAATGTCAAGACTTAGATCTTCATAATCGTTTCTTACAGGTTAGCAAATTTTCAAGATTTAGTAATAAAAGGCTTAAGGAAAATGCCTTTCTTCTTAAGAGAAATTCCCCTTAAAAACAATGTTTGTTAATCAACCCAGGAATACCCCCTTAGAATCTTAAGCTTCTTTGGGTATTTTACAGGTGGCAGATACTCAGATATTTCAGACAGTTAAAGATTACTTTTTTCATATTTGAAGGGTGCTTTACCGAGGAAGAGTAAGTACCAAGTTGTTTCTACAGATGTTTCTTACAATATTCTACAGTTGTATTGCCCTTGAGCTGTCCATCTCAAAGAGTAGGCTACTGACATGTAGCCGGTGGCTTTTAACAGCTGTGCCGCTGTCAGCAGCAGGGATTCGTATCCTTCTGAGGTCAGTATTGTTTAAGATGGATTAATTAGTAAGTCCACCATCTGTCCTGCAGAACAAAACTACAAGTTTGTTTTCTTCTGCTCATACACAAATCCATGTTGTAAGAGCATCATAGGATGCAGCTGCATCTCCTTTCTGTAGGACAAGCAGTCAGCCTTGGTCAATAGGGAAAACATTTAAAAGTCAAGGGTAGGAAAGACATTCCTTTCCTCTTGCTTCCCAAAAAATCCCTGCGGAGTGTTGTGTTGCATAACTGTAGTTTGTGGGCTGCAGCTCATCATCTCATCACTTTTCTTTTTGTCTACAGGACAGTTGAATCAACGAGTTTTGATTTGTTGCTGAAGACAGATGATGACTGTTACATTGATTTGGAGGCGGTTTTTAGCAGGATAATGCAGAAAAAATTGGACAGACCAAACATTTGGTGGGGAAAGTGAGTTGGTTTTTTTAACATGTCTTTTAAGAGCTACCATGTCTTTAGTGAATGGTTGACTGCTTTAAGTCCTGTTTTCATGTGGGTTCCCCTTTTTTTTGCCTAGGGAAGGTAGTTATAAAAAGCAGGACTTTTGTATGTGTAGAACTTTGAATCTCAGAATACAGAAATCAATCCTTTACAATAGCTTTCCAGAGTGTACCTTTACAGTGAGTTGAACTTGCTGAATATCTTACCTAGCTTTAAAATGTGTTGTCTTTCTTGTGGTATTTAAGTAAATAAAAATATTCCAAAAGTACAGTAAACTTAAAAGGCAAGTCTATACTAGAATTGTAAATGTTACTTTTATTGAAGCTACTGTGATTTTTTTCTGATGAGCTTGAGGAAATGGGGTAAACAGGAGAGACAAAATTGCCTTTATAGTCTGCACTGTATTTTGAAGCCCATGACTGACAGGCATTGCTACCCATTTTGCATCTGTCTGAAATGGTAGATCTGATTGATGAATTCTTGAGTGAAGTTCCCCAGCCTGCATTACACTTGTGAATAACCAGCAGGGTCAAAATAGCCCATCTCTTTCCTTCCCTCCACGGAATGCATTGCTACACTGGTATAACATCCAATATAGCAGAAATGCTGCGCTGCTGTAACATTCTGTACAGCACCACGGCACAATGTGTCTTCCTCTTGCCATTTGCCTACTGAAGAAAGCTGGCCTTCGCTGCTAAAGGGGTCTTGCTTCACAAGTCTAGTACTGACTGTTGCTTACTCATAAGGTGATTTAATAAGATGTGTGGAAGTGTGTGTCAAAGTGTGTGGAATAGCTGTCTATCTCGTGATGATCTCAAAGATCTGAGAGGTGGGCATGTGTTCTCTAGCCTGTACAAAAACCCTGAGCGCCTGGTGCCAGTTAAATTGCCTTACGACTACCTTTACCATGTGGCAAAGATAAGATCGGTTCATTCTAGCAGTGTAAAAGGTCAGGACCTTGATGACAGGATGGAAACCAACTTGCAAAAGGAAAAATAGCACTATGTGTAAGCTGCCTGGGCTGCTATTCCAGCTGGTGTAAGGAGCATGTTCTTGGCTGTAAGAGCTGAGGATGTCATACCAAAGAGATTGCCCTCCTTCTCCCTAGTCGCCCTACCTATGCAACAGTAGGTGTCCCTGCCTTTGGGTTGCTGCCTGACATGGGCTTGCTCCTGGGCCAGAGTTTACTGGTTACGTGTTCAGCTTTGTGCGTAACCACTGACTGTCTTCTGAATGGTTTTGGGAGATCCTTCCAAGCTCTTCTACCTTTCAGCACAGTGACATCTTTTGTATTTAGACCTGAGTGCTGGTGAAAATGTAAATGGAATGCTGTTAGGCTTCTCTGAGAGCTGGTTTTGGTGTGTGGAGACCTTAACTTCCTGAGCAGAAGGTTAATATATTTGGCCCTCGAGGTGACTTTGTTGATGGTCTCCCTTCCTTCTGCTCCTCTGGGCATGTGTCTTGAGAACTCTGCATTCTTCAGCTCATCTTGGAGAGAACGTGCTTATCTTAAATTAACATTACTCTGTTCTTTGAAAACTGCAGTCAAAAGATGAGCCACCCGCAGGCATGAGAGGCATCTCTGACAGATCACTGATCGTGTCTGCAAATGACCAGATTTATGATGGGGCAGAATGTACTAAGGTGTTTCTGAGAGAGATTAAATCTCATGAGTGGTGTAAATGGAAAGGCAGCTCACCGAAACTGGCTCATCTACCACGCTATGGGAAGCAGTGAGAGTTCAGAGTAGTACCTTTTCTTGTCCTTAATTAGGCCAAAAAGAAATTTCAGATACTTGAAGTTTTCCACAAAGATAAGTTTTGTTTGTAATATGAACCTCCCCTTTTCCTGGGGTGTCAGACATGCTGTTGAGTGTAACACTCTTCACGTTCTAGTGACGTATTTCTAGGCTTGCCTCAGAATAGCAATTGAATGAACTTACAAAGATCGAGAATGCTTTTTTCTGCAGACTGAAAAATGAGTTTTGCTGAGTCTTGCTGCAGAAATGGTGTGTTAAGGTATCGAGTAATTTTATTAGGCTGCTGACAAAAGGAAGTGACAAGTTGTGCTGGGAGAGTGCTTTTCTGTATGTCTGTGGAGAAGTTGAGGAGGTGACACCTGCAAGTGTAAATTCTCTAATAGTCAGAGTCCTCAGGTAAGGCAAGTGTGAGGTGTAGTGACCAGTGCTGAAAGCCCTACAGAAGTATAAAGTGGTTAGCAAAGCAGGTGTCCCTGGGTCTAGAGGGGGTTGTACCCTTCCTGCTGTGACTCGCTAGAAAGGAAGATACTGAGTCTAAAGTGAATTCAGGTATCGGATGTGACTTTTATCTACTTGGTGCTTTAACATGTCAGCTTCAGCTGTGAATGTGTAGAGCCTGATAACAGGTCTGCCACTCTACTGCAATTCCCCTCTTATGGGGCTGCTGTCTGAGGCGACAACTCTTAGGAGCTCACTACGGCTCTTAGCTGCTTGTGCTAATGACTGAATTGAGCAGTGCTTGAACCTGTTTGCAAACAGGGGAGAACCTGGTGCAGTGACACAGTTACGTCACTTAGCGGTGAGTGCATGGAGTACTAGTTAGGTAAGAGGAGCACAGTACCAGCCTGTTCCTGACCAGGAAAAGCAGGGCACTCCTCGCTGCCTGACACAGCAGTCTCACGGGGGCTGTAGTGCTGCACGGTGAGGCAGCGTGTCCCAGCTGGCTCTGCCACACTGCCTGGGGGTGGCAGTCAGTGCAGAGACTGTGCCGACAGAGCACTGCTGGCTTTCTGCACGCCTCTAGTAGCAAGTACAGTCTTCCCTAGTGAAGACAACTGCTGGGAAGGTTTTGTAATTCAGTGATGGCAGCCTTTGTTGAACATCTGCTTTGTTTAATTTCATTTGGAAAACAGCTTAGAGAAGGTATATAAAAAACCAGTCCTTTGCCTTTCTTCCTCGTTTTTAAGCACCTACTAGTTTTATCAGGAAAAGGCATTGTGTAACATTCTAGTTAACTGCCTGGCAGAGGCACTGCCTTTGTGTCATGTTGATTAACCAAAGGGGGGTGGACTGAGATGTGCCCGTAACAAGACATACTTAAGGACACTTGTGCTTACCTGGATCAAAAGAGCAGGTGCAGACATGCTGAAGACTGGACTGTGAGTGTTGCGTCTTTTTCTGTTCTGAGAAATTTCTCTTATTACCCAAGACAGAGACCAAAGAACAGTTACACTTTCAGCTGTTGTGTTGGATTAGATGTGTGCCCTAGAGTAACAAGGCTAGGAAATGTAATTAGGATCACCTTCTACTTCCTCCTCTTAATAGTTTATTATCAGTGTTACTTCAGTTGTTAGCAGTGTTCATAGGTTTCACAGAGGGCTGGCTGTGTGTAAACATCTCATGTCTAATATGGTCTTCAGTTTCAGACTAAATTGGGCAGTTGATCGAACTGGGAAATGGCAAGAGCTGGAATACCCAAGTCCTGCATATCCAGCCTTTGCTTGTGGGTCTGGCTACGTCATCTCCAAAGACATTGTTCAGTGGCTGGCAAGCAACTCTGAAAGATTAAAGACATACCAGGTATTAAAGCATTGGTTCAGTTTTTCTATCTTAAACTGGTCTGGGGAGCAGCATGATGAGCTGGAAAGAACATTTCTCAAGTGTCAGTGTTGCGTTCCCCTGGTTGATGCTGGCTTTTTGCAGTGCTTTTGGTCACTACGCTTAGTGTCTGTTCACAACTGGTCAGAGCAGAAGTGTTTGGGACTGAGAACCTCTGGAGCTGTAATCTTGAGTTTTGTACTGTCTTCTTTTGAGAACAATGTGCTATCATGGGAATGTTGGGAGGATTAATTTCACACCTCTAAAACAGTCAGACATAGGTTTTTGTAGTTACCGTTTTTTACTGCTGGTACATGATGCAACTTATTCTAGTTCACAGAGTCATGCTTTGTGCTTTCCTGGTGCTAATATCTGTATTTTTTACTTTAATGTGTTGTCTCAGGGTGAAGATGTGAGTATGGGCATCTGGATGGCAGCTGTAGGACCCAAGCGATATCAAGTAAGTCTGAAGAAATTCTTTGATCTTATGGAAAGAGAACATGCCTGTTGGTCCAAGTAGCATAAATTAGAGGAAATGCCTTTTCTTAAAAAAAAAAAAAAAAAAAAAAGTTGAAACAGCCATTGGATTGAAATCCAGAAGACACTTGTTAAAATGTATTTAAAAGAAAAACCACAAAAACCCCACAAACCACCCCCCCTGCCAGCACCCCCCATCCCCACCTCACAAGTTCTCTGACTAGGTCTGCCAGATCAGAGAGGGACATGTACCTCTAGTTGGTGACCTCTGTGTGCAAAGTTTGTTGCTAGAAACAATGAAAACCTGATTCTTGGAAGTAGAGGTTGCTGAAGAGTAATTTTTTTGTATGAAAAAGCTATTGAAATGGCTCTCTCTCTAACAGGATAGTCTCTGGTTGTGTGAGAAGACATGCGAGAGTGGCATGCTGTCTTCACCCCAGTATTCTCCACAGGAACTGAAAGAGCTCTGGAGATTAAAGGAACTGTGTGGAGATCCTTGTAGGTGTGAGGAAAGATGATGGACTTGCCTTGGAAAACAGGGTAGCATATAATGATTGTGAAAAAGTGTACATTTGGATTCATTCTTGGAACAATAAGGAATATTAAGGTATCTTTTAATGTTGAGTTTCAACTAAAGTATAACAATATTTGCACATCCCTTTTGATAATTACAACTGGACTCATACTATTCATTTTCTATAGTATAGATGTTGATCTGACAAAACTTAAAATGTTTAAGATAAAAAATTTCCTTTTTATATAAAGTCAAAAACTTACTTGTAATTAATAAATGCACATAAGAATACCGACTAGCCTGTCTTTTGTAAATTAAAGACTACTGATTTAACTCAGTATAGAGCCTTACCAGGATCCAGTGGAGAGCTGTGCTCAGCACCAGGGCATCTGATAAGTCTTGCGGGTGCTGTGCTGTCTGAGGGGGTGCCGTGGTCAGTGCAGGGGCTGGGACAGCTAAGGGTCAGGATTTATGTTTAGACCATTGTCATTTTACATAAAAACAATATCAAAGTTTGCTTATACCAAATCTTGAAGTACAGCAAACTTCACCTGAGCTAGGAGGGGTTTCTGATAGCTCAATGTGTTATTAGATACGAATTTAAGGGTACAGAAGTGAAAGTAAAATAAGACTGAGGAACAGTGCTCTGAAGAATGTAAATACATAGCAATGCCTTGCGGTATGCTGAGAACTTATTGATACAGTGGGATGTTAACACTGTAGGGTAGAATAAAGGTACTGTCAGATTTTGACCTTAAACATGTCTTCTACAATTACTGCTGTTTTACTTTTGTTTGCTTTAAGGTCTTTCAAAGTAGGTGAAAACGAAAGAGCAGGTTGCCTCTTTCAATGCAGCACTGATTTTGTCCTATTATAAGTGAAGAGATCACAATTAAATCATGTACTCACTTCAGTAAAACAAATTCACACTGTTGCAAGGGGAAGGTAGTATAAAGTCTGGCAAAAGTTCCTTTGACTTTTATTTAATTGAAGCATTTAAGTACTATTTGGTATCTCTCAAGTAAGACAATTGAGCCAAAAGCTTTCATGGAGACTGACAATTCAATTTAGGAGCTGAAAGTATTACTGTATAGCCCTCTGGTGCCACATACAAAATTCACATCCTGCCTGAACAGATGTAGAGAAGAAAGTCCGTAACCCTTCTGCCGTTCCAGTGTTGGCTTTTCCTCCAGTCTATCAAGAGAGTCCCTTCTTACCCCCGTACTAACACACAGTCTCCATAGCTGAAAGTATTACTGTATAGCCCTCTGGTGCCACATACGAAATTCACATTCTTCTCTACATCTGTTCAGGCAGGAAGTCCGTAACCCTTCTGCCGTTCCAGTGTTGGCTTTTCCTCCAGTCTATCAAGAGAGTCCCTTCTTACCACCGTACTAACACACAGTCTCCATCTTCTATTGAGTAAAACTGCAAAGGCTTTAAGTCATTGTCTAGTTCAACTTCTTTTCCTTCCAGCTAGAATAAGAAAGGAAATAAAAACTGATCAGACTTAAACTGAAATCTGTTCATGTAACCCAAATATAGATCAGGCATTTGCAGTCAGGGAGGATCTGTCATATTACAGGAATGAATTTACGTCCTAAATTACAGCATCAAGACTGTCCTTCTTAAGTGAACTCAATTTCATTAGGTAGTAGTTTAGAACATGTGATTGACCTTCAGCAGCATGCAGTATTTTATTGTTGAATTCCTCATTTTTAACTCACTTTAGAACTTCTGTAGGACAGTTTCAGTTCTGAACCAGGAATTTTAAGTAGGCGATACAGCAATCCTTTGACCTTCTGAATAGTCATAGACTCTGCCAAGCAGAAAGAAAGAAAAGTTACTAGAAAAATGCTGCTACCACTGAGCTGTAGCAAAGTATTAGAGTTTCAACTATGCTTGCTGATAGCAACACTGCAAGGCTGTATTGCTGTTTCAGGTCTAACTGCAATAATGTTTTTTGTACCTGAAACCATAACTGCTAATATCAAATTGAAAATGGTTTAATCTCTGGGGGATAGGACAGGATATGCTACTACGGTTTAAGTGCTTGGATCCCATATGCCAAATTAAAGTGTTATGGCTTCATAATTTACCTTTGTTGAGTTTGTATTTACTCCATGCTAAACTAAGTGACCTTTGGGACACATACCAGTCAGGTTACGACTACTTGCATCTGGCGACTGTTCTTTGAAGTTTTCCTTACCAGGAATTGGCTTTCCCAGCACAAATAAATGAATGTCACTGTGGAAGTAATGCCATTCTTAGAAATGGTATTACATTAATTAGTCCCAAACAAATTGCCAGCAGAGTTGTAGAGTGGTTTATATTATGAAGTCAGTTACACAAAGGGATATTTTTTTGTAATGGATCTTGAATGAGTAAATGTAGTTTGTTCCAGAGACGATACCCGTGTTTGCAATAGATATACTCAATATTTCGGTTGAACTTTCACTTCTTTTGAAGCTTTACCTAAAGGCACAGCAATAGTGAGTTATTCCTGTAATACCACACATTGTACTTAGACAAATATTTTTCTATCAAACATTTTGTAAGAGCTGTATCTATCTGATTTTATGCAACTTGTGATAATAAATGTGATTTTTATTTTAGAATAAAGCTTGAGTAAGTCTCTTCTCTCCGACCCCCTTCTGATGCATCTTTCCAGAACATCAGTTTGATTTAGAACAAAGTCTGTTCATTCTAGTCTCACTACAGGTGCTCAAACTGGTACAGTTTCTAACTTACTGAGGTCTAGTATCTAATACATTATCTACAACTGCAGCCTACATCGTTGGCTCTTACAACTTCATGTTCTTGTGATTTGGTTTAACACAGCCACCGGATTTCACACCAGTTAATTAGCCTTTGATTGCCTCAGACACATTAGTTGTGAAACCAGCAGCAGAGGTCATAAGCATCAACTTTCAATCTTCAAGCTGGACTGAAAGTAAGTATGAAGGTCAGAAAAATAATTACTTTTTCAAACAATTTCAACCTTTGTCATTTCCTTATGACAGAGTCTTCAGGGAAGAATCTTCAGGAGCTGACAAAGCCAGAGGCAGCTGCCATTCTTTAATACAGTTATTTGAAAAGGAGCTACAAATCGGCTGCTTAAACTTCTTACCTGGTAGCTTTTTCTCTACTGGCTTCTGTTCAGGTCTCTCGGGACACTTGATTGTCAAAGCTTAAGGAAGAAGAGTGAGGCATTAGTGAATGAATGTTAAGCCCTGTTCTGTCAGGAGCACAGTCTGGTTTTATTACAAATTGCTTCCCCTAGCTCAGCCTGATCTAAAAAAAAAAAAAAAAAAAAAGAGGTTGTAGCCTGTATCTGAGCAACTAAGACAGCATTTACTCATTCTCTGAAAAATTAATTTTATTAAAATAATGAAATTTTTATTTTTCTTTGGTAAATTAAGGCAAATATTTTAAAAGTGACTCCCTAATACTTAACATGTTCTTTTGGTCAAAAGGAGTATTTAACTGAAAAAGGCTTCATTTCTAGTTAACTTTTTAAAATAACCTGCAGTAGAATGGAAACTGCCTACTCAGTTTAAAGCAGGTTTTTGACCCCCAGTATCTTGTAAGCACACTACGAGCACATTTTTTTAGGAAGTAATCTCTGTAAAAGAATTAGACTAATAAAAAGACTCATCCTTGAAAAAATGTTTTGATTATGTCTAGCCAACTAGATTCCTTGTTCTATTTAGTTTTCCACCTAAATGCACTAGAATGTAATGCCTTAAAATACTATTTTGCCTATGGAGTAAAAAAAAAAAAGGTTAATTTCTTCTATCAACTAAGAAACACAAAACTAAGTGAATTTCTAAGTCTGGGCTGTATCCCAGTTTAAATATGCAGACAGCCCCAAATACCAAAGCCACCCATATTTTTCTTGACTGACCTAAAGTTAAGAAGCTATTAAAAAAAAATTATCAGAAAACAATGCAGCTATGGAGGTTAAAATCTCAAATGTCTTCTGCAGAGAAGCCATTCACGGAGTCAGAATGGAGTATTGAGTACCTCTGTTCTCCATCAAGCCTTAATTAAGGGGGGGAAGGAGACAGTACACAGAAGCAGGTATCTAGTCAAACTCATTGATACAAGTCAGAGAACCAGAATGACAAGCTGTAACACTGTGACATCTTAAACGCTTTTGTATCTTCTGTTCTCCATATACACCTAGGAAACACTAAGCTTGTAAGATATTTTAAATGCAGAAGGAACAGTTTTGACCATTTCTGGCCTCTTACTCAGAAGCTGGTTTTTCAGAGTTGAAGGCTGTTGGCTCTTCAGTTCTCCTTCTTCAGGTGCACCATATTCTGTGGGAAGGAAAGGGCACAGAGACTAAAACTCCACAGTAAGAGCACTGTGGTGCTGGATCAGACACAAGGCTGTTGGATGAGGCACGAGCCTGCTGCCTCAGTTCCCTCCGCAGCCAGGATACTCAGTATAGAAAGTGGTGGGTAAGTGCCGTTTGCACAGGCCTGCCCATGGGTGGGCTTTCCTAAGGCACCAGAAGCACATGGACAAGCTGCCAGGGGAAAGGAAACTAAAGAGAGCCCAAACCAGTGCTACCACAACGCCAGAAGCAAGGAACTGTTAAAAGTACTTGTACTTACTAAGACAAAGCGCTGGGTATCTGGGATGGGCAGCAAGAAATTCTTCATTGGGTTTGTTTTTCTCTGGGTTCCAATGCCCACCAGCTGCTAACCAGTCATTTCCAAATATTTTGCGATAATCAAGCTCTGCTCCTTTTCTTTCAGCAGGGGGGATCTGTACTGACACAGGAATGGCACATAATATAATTATACAACTTTCCAGAGAAGAAAATCTAATTAATGATGTTGACCCCTTGTCTCTTACTTAGATGTTCAGTATGTTTTAATGCTACCAAGAATCGTACAAACCCCACCTCCATGTACTGACTGACCCATAAATGAGTAGCTAAGCAAAGATGTTACTGTATATGATTATACAAGGATTTTTTTTTTTTGTAGCTATGAAACAGATGCTGCTTCTGCCCTCTTTTATGATAAACACTTGCTGAAAGTCTTATTTGGTTTAGATAATGCTATTTTCCTATTAAAGAAGGCAAATGCTTGAATTACTGCCCCTGAAGTAGATTCAACTGTGTTGCTTTTTCTTTTTTTTTTTTTTCGGCCAGAGTATGGTTTTTGTTAACAAATCTTGCAGCTTCTGCACAACTCAAGCACTTGAAAAAACCCACCATTCCTCCATCTTGCCCTAGTCCCCACTGACTTATCAGCATTCACAAACAGGGCTGGATCTTGTAGCCCTGCTGATGCTCCATTCACTAGGTGATGGAACAGTTGGCACTTTTCCTGCACCCACACGAACACTAATCTTAAACTGAAAACAATTCCTCAAGCAATGATT